CTCTTTGATTCATTTATTTTTCGGAGGGTTTGCTTCATCTCAATTGCATTAATTTCTGCCTTGATCTTTATAATCTCCTCTCTTCTTTGGGCTTTGGGCTTGAATTGTTCTTCTTCTGAAAGTTTGAGGTGCAGCAGTAGGCTATTTATTTGTTCTCTTTCTGTTTTCCTTCTGTGTGAGTTCACCTCTATAAATTTACCTCTGAGGACTGCTTTTATTGCATCCCACAGATTTCAGTGAGTTGTATTTACATTTTTATTTGTTTGTAGGTACTTTTTAATTTCTTCTTTAATTTCTTCTGTGACCCATTGGTTGTTCAGGAGGTGGTTGTTTAATTTCCAAGTGTTTATGTAGTTTTTGGAGTTCCTTTTGTCATTAATTTCCAATTTCATTGCACTGTGGTCAAATAATATGCATGGAATAATTTCAATTCTTTTGTATTTAGGTAGGTTTGCTCTATGGGCTAGAATGTGGTCTATTTTAGAGAAAGTCACATGTGCAGCTGAGAAAAATGTGTATTCTGATGTTCTGTGGTAGAACACTGTGTATACAGCTACTAAGTCCATTTGTTCACAGCTTTGGTTCAGATCTGTTATTTCTTTGCTGATTTTTTTGTCCAGTTGATCTATCTCTTTGTGTTGAAGGGGTACTGAGGTCCTCTGTTACAATAGTGTTATTAATTGTATGGGTTTTCATGTCTGTTAAGATTTGTCTTATATGGTTTTTGCTCCAATATTTGGTGCATACATGTTTATGATTGTTATCTCATCCTCTTGCAGTTTTCCCCTAACAAGTATGTAGTGGCCTTCTTTATTTCTTTTGATTGTTGTCAGTTTGAAATTTACATTGTCTCCAAACGTAATAGCTACACTGCTTTTTTCTGGGTTCCTGTTGCATGGAGGATTGTTTTCCATCCTTTGACTTTCAGTTTATGGATTTCCTTTCAAGTAAAATGTGTTTCCTGTATACTGCATATCGCTGGATTTTGTTTCTTAATTCACTCTGCCAGTCTGTTTCTTCTGATTGGTAAATTGAGGCCATTTACATTTATTGTTATAAGTTATATGTGTTGACTTATCATTGTCATGTTATTTACTTGCTGTTGGTTTCCTACTTTTCCTACCTGTTTAATTGCTTGGTCTTCTTGATGGTTCCTTTCTACTGTTGTTCTTGAAATTGTGTTCATGTTTTTCTCTGTCTAGAATATCTTTTAATACTCTTAGCATTGATGGTTTGACGTTCATGAAGTTCTTCAGTTGTTCCTTGTCATGGAAATATTTTATTTCTCCATTGAATTTGAAGGATAATTTGGCGGGGTACATCAGTCTTGGTTGGAAGCTATTTTATCTCAGGACCTGAAATACTTCACTCCAAGCTGTTCTTGATTGGATGGTTTGTGTTGAGAAGTCTACCATGATTCTGAAAGGCTTTCTTTCATAGGTAACCTGTTTCTCTTCTCTAGCAGCTTTTAATATTCTGTTCTTTTGCTGAAGATCTGGGATCTTGACTATTATATGTCTGGGTATAGTTTTATTTTAGTTATGGTTAGTTGGAGTTTTGTATGCCTCATTTATCTGTATATCACGTTCTGTTTCCATACTTGGGAAATTTTCTGCTATTATTTCTGCAAATATTCTTTTCATGTCGTTTATGTTGCCTCCTGATGTTTCATTGATTCCTGTTAGTCGTACATTATTACTCTTTGCCTCATCTTGCAGATGTTAAATTGATTTTTCCTGGTTCCTTGTTGATTTTAAAAGATCCTTTCTTTCATGGTTGCTAGCTGCCATGCAGTCTTCAAAATCTGAAATTCTGTCTTCAGCTTCATTCAAGTGGTTTTGACAGCTTTCAGTGGAAGCTTTGATTTCCTGGAAGTCTCTTTGAATCTGGTTCATGTGTTCTGATTCATTTCTATATTTTTCATTTAACATTTCTGTCCATTGCCTGTGTTCTTTTATTTCCTTATGTGTTTCTGTTTTAGATGTTTTGAGCAGTTCTTTCATTATTATTGTCATTTCTTTTTTTGCCTGAGAGATTATTTCTGATCTGATCTCTTCTATGACCTTATGGAGTTGTTTCTTTACTTCCATTGCAATCATTTCAGCAATTTCAGGTGTGTGCTTACCAAGGTCTCCTATGTCGATGTCTCCTGGACTTGTTCTGAGTGGGGTGGAGTTCTAAGATTGTGTTTTATTCCTTCGTCTTTTGATATTTGATACCAGATGCAGAAATCTCAGTCTCCCCTTTCCTACTAGCTCAGTAAACGCTGCTATTGTCCCTAGTTTTCCTGGTGGTCAGGCTTGCCCCTCAGTGTCTGCTGAGATGCACTGCTTAGTCTGCAGTTTTCCAGCAGATGGTGAAGTGTATCTAGTTCTCCCAGGTCTCAGATGCAGATTGTGATGTCAGCTGATGGCAGTCCTTCTGATCCAGCATCCCCTCACAGCTCAGGGGATGTGTACAACCTAGAATCGGGTTGCACTGGTGGCACAATCCCAGACCAGTGGACCTGTGTCCCCAGGCAGTTCAGGGTACAGGCAAACCCAGACACGAACTACAGGGTCAACAGTTTGTGGACCACCTGATTCTGTGTCTTCAGGCAGCTCAGGACGCACACAGGAGCTGGACGCGGGCTGCACTGGCGGTGATGATGGACCGCCTGTGTCTGTGACCTGCAGGAGGTCTGGGCACAAGTAGAGCCCGGACCTGAACGCAGTGCCAGCAGGTCGTGGAGCACCCACTCCAGTACCTCACTAGGCGCTGGAGAGAGGGCCCATATGTGAACCCCGGTGAGAGCAGTTCATGGACCTTCTGAGTGAGGATCTCCTGTCTCTATGATTGATTTGTTACATCTGGATTTTGAAAAATATACAATCTGTTCATCATTAATTTAGGGATAGATTTCACTTGAAATTGTATGTTTTAACTTACCTCTTTTTGTTTCTGCTTACTAGGGTGGAAAGGTACTTTGTTAGGTGTGGCTATGGCTACAGTAAACGCTATGACATCAGAATATGGCTGTAGTTTGGAAGACATTATTGTTGTCCTGGGACCTTCAGTAGGACCTTGCTGTTTTACTCTTCCCAGGGAATCAGCAAGTGCATTTCATAATCTTCATCCTACATGCGTACGACTGTTTGACTCACCACATCCCTATATCGACATCCGTAAAGCCACCAGGTATATTTGATTTTATTCTGGAACTACAAGTTTAATTATTGCTTATTAATTCTCAAATGGAAATTATTTTAGAGAACAATTAATAACACCAAGAACAATTTAGCTGGCAGATATTTAAGTAATTAACATACACAGAAACTCATTTTAAATATGAAGTCTATTTTTTAAAATATGAATTACAGAAAATTTCTTGTCTGGTATCTCTTAGTGATATAAAAATGAAGGAACAAACATTTGGACTTTAAAGAAACATACTTAAACTGTAGAAAAGGTGGCATATACTTTACTTCACAGGAAGTTTGTACAGCTCTATATGAATTTAGGTGGCAAATGATGATAAAAGCTATCATTTCCTGACACAACATGGTCCGTGTTGTGTGAGTGAATAACAGTTCACATTATCCCAAGTAGATCTTTCCTGGAGCTCTTTTATAGCAATATATTTATGTTTTTTATACTGCTTTGGCTCCTGGTAAAATACACTCTTGCTATCCATTGAAAACTCTTTAAGGATTCTTCTAGAACAAGGAGGAATTCTTCCAGAGAATATTCAGGACCAGAACCAAGATCTCAACCTCTGTACATCCTGCCATCCTGAAAAGTTTTTCTCCTGCGTCCGAGATGGCCTTAACTTTGGTACACAGATTGGCTTCATATCACTTAGAGAATGAGGTACAGTAGATTCTTTCTCCTCTTTTCGGCCTTTCTTCTCTTCTCTCAAGTTCCATTTCCCATCTTTCCTTCACTCTTCTATTTGTTTCCTTCTTTCAGCCTTTCCTTCCTCTCATTTTAAAATTAATATTTAATTTGCTTTTTTTATTCCTACAAGAAGAGTTAAGTTGCCACATTTTTTAGTGACATAATAGTGGCCAAAAAATTCATTTTCTGTTACATACTCTATTATACAAAGAATAGTCACTTGTTTTTCTAGTTAACCAAGTATAATCAAGCAGGCTTATGTTAAAAGTATAAAAATATGATCTTTATCTGTACTGTATACTTGACATGTTATCTTTATACCTTTCATTTTTTGAATTTCTGAGCAGAATTTTTTGCATAAAGATTTTAAATTCTAGAATAATGAAAAAATCCATAAAGAGGCAAGCTAGCTTAGTTTTCAGCTATATTTCTAACTTCTATCTATACTAGAGTTGACCAAATTTTTCTTTAAAGAATTGTACAGTGAATATGCTTTATGGGGCATATAATATCTATCTCAGCTACTCACCTTTCCTATTATAAATTTAGACACTGACAGTACAGAAATGAATGGTATGTCTTTGTGTCAGTTAACCTTCTTTTTATAAGACACCAAATAAGGGACCACCTTGGGCCCATAGAATATGGTTGGTTTGCTAATGCCTCACCTACAGTCAGAAAGCAAGGTTAAGCATAATTTCATAAGTAAAATAGTGTTTATTACAGGTGGTTTCTTAAGAGTTATACAAAAATGTATCATGACAGTGACTTAGTACTAATTCTTTTAGTCTACTATATATGCAATTTTTTCAAAGTTATTTTTAACTGAATTATTATTTTTAGCTTTTATAATGTCTTTAGTTCTTTAATATAAACAAAAATTTAATAAATTTTATTATTTTTACCTTGATATTATAATTTTACTAGTAAGGGGCTCATATTTTATTTCTATGTATTTTACAGATACTTGACTGGATTTTTACATTTTTTCATCCTCCTTCCAAACTGATGGCAAGGGAAAAAGTTAACTGATTTGTGTAAAACATGGAGGATTATAATGGACAATTCATCTTAGATGTATATTTGCACTGTTATTACCAAATCCAAATGGTGTTTATTTAATTCAAATGATAATTGACTAAAAATTGTGTGATGTTTTATAGATGAAGACGATTCAAAAATGTTATTCTCAGTATTACATAAATCAGGAATTTGTGTAATATCTATTGGATATTTACTATTTACCAGGTATGATATTAAGCATAAATTAACCAAAATTGCTAAGACTTTTTCCTTTTGAGTCCAATGCACTGCAAGAAATAAACTTTACAGCTAAAATTTAATTTTAATGCAGTAGAAGAGTACAAAAAGAAGGTAGCTAATTTTACTCAAAAGGCAGGATAGAGAAGGTATTACAGCAAAAGTGACACATGGGCCCAGAGTATGTATAGGCGTTTAACAAATGAAGAACAACCATAGCAATGAGGGAACATCATGAACCAGAGAATGAAACTGGAAATTTATATTATGTCTTAGAGATAGAACAGTGTGGGCAGAATGAGACTGGAAAAACAGGTTAGAAATAGATTGATAGGAATCTCAAATGCCATGCAAAAGTTTGGAGTTTATTTTTCAGGCAATTAATAGGCATCAAACGCAGAGGAGCATTTTTATTTCCTTGTTATCCTCTCTAGTATGATGGATTTTTATTGTGAGAGGCAGAAGCAGAGAGATTACGTAAGACCAGTAAAAGAATTTCAAAAAAGAATGAAGTCCCAATAATGCAGTGGAAAATAAAAATGGAGAATAGGCAAATCACTGATGATTCCAAAATTTCTGCTTAGGTAACTACCAAAGTACCAACTGAGTCAGGGAGGGAGTTTCAGACAGAGGAAAAATAGTGATTTTCACCTTACCACAGAATAAAATGCATATGGATGGAAATTTTTGGTCGTCAGTTAGAAATATAGAACTGGAATTCAGGAGGGAAGTTGGGAAAAAGACAGATTTGGTGGCTAAACACAGATGATACCTGAGTCTGTTGGAGTCTGTTGGGTCAAATTAGAATGTGCCAAAAGGAGTCCCAAGGGTGCGGCCTCATACAGCGCCTGCACTGGAAAAGCAAGAAGCTGAAGCAGTAGAAAACAAAAAATAATAGTATTCAGAAATAAAAAACAAGAGAGCATTGTCATTTTGAAGAATCCTGCATAGGTGCGGGAGGTACTCAAAGAAGTCTTTAAGGATAAAATAAAACAAGAATTGAGAACAAATCAGCTGTTTTATTTATTAAAGCTGTCTTTCGCTAGCTGTCTGCAGTGAAGCTGACAGCCAGGTTTCAGAGCATTGAGGAAGAAGATGCACAGATATTGACTCTTAATGACAGTTTTTACTTGAGAAAATAAAGGGATTTAATTTTTTTGTACAGGTAATTTCAAGTATATTTGTAGGTTAAAGAGAAATGTTAAGCTACATTTAACTTGGGGAAAAGGTGTATATTTTTAAAGTAAATTGTTATGTTGCATCTTGAAAAGACTTTGTTATGTTGTACCTATATTTCTTGTGTATATATGGTATAATAACAGCAAATATTACTTTCTTGGTATTTTCAAAGGATTTAAATGTGTATTATCTCATTTACCTTCATAGCTACTATGAAATACGTAGGTTAGGTGTTACCCTTTTTACTCAGATGAGAAACAGTCTGATAGAGGTGAAATTCAAAGTCACACAATTTGTGACAAGATTGGAACATATATTTTGTGATTTAAATCTCTCAGGTTTTACAGTTAAGACTACCTAAATTTTATTTCTATTTTCAACTTTACATTAATATTCTTGATTCATACATCATTTAAAATTTTGTTCAAATACTAGGATACGTTAAAAAACAGGTTTGTAAACATTAAAATGTTTAATGTAGTGAAAAGTGAAAGTTAATAAGTCAGAAGTTTCAGTATTGTAATATGTGCTATGAGTTTGCCAAAGCTTGGTACCTTGTTTGGTTTAATTCTTCTATGCATCTTCTAGCCCACTGTGAAATTTAAATGAATAAAATACCTCATTTCTTCAAATTTAGGGATGACAGTAAACACAACACAGAAATTTCAGACTCATGGAAAATAGTGTTTTGCTTAGTGGTAACAATAAAGATTAAGGAATAATTTCATGTATTGAGAAGACTTGAGTTTCTAATTCACTGTATTATTCACTGTATTATTTTGTTGAAAGCTGTGATTTACAGAGCAGTAGTCAGTCACATTTTATTCAGTATACCATAATATTTCAAAACTAAATAAAATTATTTTTTATTATCTATGATTTTCAATTATCTGTGACAAAGTATCTAATGAAAAATTGTCTACTTAGCCTTATTACTGAGTATTGTAGTCAGGAGTTTGCAATGGGAACAATTTGATACAGGACACATGATTTATAGGTTTATTTTATAATAGTCACCCAAAGAGTCATATACAAAGAGAGTGTGGGAAATCTGTTCACACACTAAAGACCAAAAAGAATCCAGCTGAGGGCCTGGATCCCATGGCAGTGTCCTTCGTGAGTCCAGCTAGAGACCTAGAACCCATAATAATGCCCCACACGAGTCCAGCTGGAGGCCAAGAACCCACAACAGTGTCCCATGCAGTCGTGTTTCAGAGATCTGTGTTGGGAAGGTTCAAAGGTCAGTGGTGGAAGCTAGAAAGTCTGTGCCAGCAGAATGAAGGATCTGTGCTAGCAGGCTGAGGGATCTGCACTGGAGCCAGGAAGTGACACTCAAAGTAACAACCAGAGCTCCCCTGAAAAATACCACGACCATCCTCAGTGACACTGAAATCCCGAGCTCCCTTAATGATCAGAACAGCCGAGTCCATATCAGGAAAGCCAGCCCAACAAGCTGCTCCAGGAGGTTGAACCGTGCATCATTTTCCCCTCTGGAGCGATGCTGAAAGGTAAGGACCAGAGCTTCCCCAAAGTAAACTGTAGCCATTCTCAGCGACTACAAGGTCCTGATCTCCTCCGACAGTGAGAACAGCTAAGTTCATCAGGAAAACCAACAGCTCCCTACAGCTTTTCTTTCCCAGTTCTGCCTCTTACACTACTGCCAACATTCCTCAGGTGGGCCTCCCACACCCAGCACCACACTGGTGCAGTTCAGTTAGGTGTTACCAGTTGACCACCAGTTGTCAGTCCACCACACTGAGTGAGAAGTATTGATTCAGTAACTGAGAACTACCAAGTTATTAAGTAATCATATCGTATTGTCTCTGCAAGATCCTAGTAGGGTAGAAAGCATTGATAACTATTAGGTTTTGTTTTTAATCTAAACCCTGCTACTAACTGCATATAGGTAATGTTGGTTGCAATTTTACTACAAGAGGAGTTAAATTTGCAAATCCAATGAGAGTTTGTGGCATGACTTCTATTGGATTACTAATTATCAAACTAAAGTTTAATAGACCATTAGTATGGCCTTGGTCTTTTTGTCTGTCATTTTTAATTGTTAAAAGTAGCACAGTGACTGTGTCCATGCTTTATAAAATAAATGAAATTATTTTAACACTAGGGGGCAGTGTTTCCACAAGTAGCGTGGCCATTTCTTGGCATAAAGTTAAACCAGTCTTCTTTTGCCTGTGTAAATTTGGTTCTCTTTAACAATATTTTGTAATCATTGTATCTAAACATGCAGACATCAGCTATGCATCTTGAACAATTACTTCCAAAATAAAGATAAATCATTTTATTTCCCTCTGTTTTGGACCTCCCTTTGGCTAAAGGGAGAAGTTGTATATGAGAAATCAGATTGAAAAGGGACAGGAAGGGCCGGGGATATAGCTCAGCAGCACAAGTGCCTGCCTGGTAAGGGGAAAGTCCTGAGTTCAGTTCCGGGTACCAAAAAAACCCACAAAAAACACAAAACAAAAGGGAGAGGAAGCATCTTCGGTGTGTGTCTGCACCCAGCTGCTTCCACAGCACCAGGCAGGTGCCCCACAGGATTGGAGCTGGCTCCACACAATCAGAGAGCCAAAGTTAGAATTTTCCCAGTGGTGTTAGGGCTTCTGGGTACAGGCTGAGTCAAGAGAGATGGCTGATGGATGATACTCAGACCGTGGCCCACTCCCACTAACTGGCCCACAAGGCCTTGCCCTCTGGTCCTGTGATCACCTGAGCCAGGGTTCTGTATGGTTCGGCCAAATGCCATCCTCCACTGAAGCCGGGTACAAATGAGATACAGCTAGGTATAACATCTCTGTACTCAGAGCAAGTGCACCTACAGGATGTGGTCAGAGCCCAGCCCACCGCGGAGAGAGATGACTAGCACACCCTTGGGGACTTAATCTCTGTTTTTGTGTATGTGTGCATAAAATTTTTAAAATTACGCAGTACCAGAAAAAACAAAAAATTTTTTAAAAATTTTAAAATTAGTGACACTATAATTTCAAGTAGATAAAAGCATTTAGGTACCCTCAACCACCTTACTCTTTTGTAGAACAGCTAACAACTGTTTTTGTGTGGGTAGATTTTGGGGGGAGGAACTCACGTATACTGTGTTATATTACAAAACAATACTCCTAGATTCAAATACTGGAAGATGGAAGAGGACAGTGACTTATGTGTTGCATCATTTCTATCTCAAAATCTTGTTTTTTAAAAACTTATTCTTACAGTGTACCTATCTTAATTTTTGTGTGAACTCAGTGCTATAAAAGTCCAGCACTTTAAAGAAAGCATTGCTCAATTACCTGTGTGTTTTTGTATGTGTTTTGATGGGTTTATGTGTGTGTGCTAAATGTCTAATGGCAAATATGCTAAGTGTAGTATATAGGCTCTTTGCCCTACCTAACATAAATTCATATGCACAAACAGTGGATGCAGTGGAACTGTACATTTCTTTATAAATTTTAAATTGCACAGTAAAGAATGGAAAACATAGCATGTATGCGTACTGGATGTGTTTATGGAAAACCTGGTCTACGACACACACATTTCCATTATAGGCAGTGTTTTAAAACTTTATTGGTGTTTTTAAAGATGAGAAAGCTGCTGTAAGCAGTGCATTGTTTTGTGCTAGGTCATTGCTTAATGAAGGGAAAAAGAAATCTGACAGTACAGTTTTTTCTGGATTAACATATTTAGTTTGAACCCACAGTGATTACATGTCAACCATGTTGACACAAATTTTTTATATTCCTCTTAGATGAATTTATTTTTGCAGAGAAAGACGTGCTTACCTCACATTCCTGGTGCCTTGTGCCAAATGCCTGAGGTGACTATATCCCCTCTGTATTTTGAACAGGATTTTTGTTTTACTGGAATTTTAGAAGGTTTGGATGTCTAGCTACTATATTTTATTAAATGATTAAAATTTCCAGCAGACTTTATAGCTCAAAATACCTTCCTTTTCAACTGCTCTCCATGAGTACTCTCATAAGAGTCATTGGTAGAAAGTAAATGTGCTAAAGGGGACAATTGTGTTTTTAATATTCTTCATTTTCAATAAAATTTTGCATAACATTGTTTTAGTTTACATCTCATCTCTACTCCTTTACCTCAGTCATATGCTTTAAGATTGTGTTCCTTAATCCCCCCATCATCTTCATTTTCATTCTTGGTATTTCCAAGTCACAAGGAAACTTTATTTTTGTTTTCTACTTTTAATTACATATCTAGACTTGGCTACAGAATTGTTTCTTGGATATATCCTATGGCCTCTCAGATACAATTTAACTCATCATCATCATCCCTCCAAAATCTGTTCCCTCTGATGTTAGCTCACAGAATGAAGTCATTATTAATGCAGTTGCCCAGCCAGAAATCCTGGAGTGTTTCTGAATGCCTCCCTTTTCTTCCTATACTACTGACTTGCTATGTCTGCCGTCTGTTCTGTATCCCTACATCAACTGGTACATGCTGGGCGTGGTGACGAACGCCTGTAATCCCAGCACTAGGGAGGCTGAGGCAGGAGGATCGTTGTGAGTTTGAGACCAGCCTGGGCTACAAAGTGAGCTCAAGGCCAGCCTGAACTGCATATTGAGACCCTGTCTCAAAAAGACAAAAAAAAAAAAAAAAAAAAACAAAAAGCAAAACAACAACAACAAAAACCTGCTGCAGACATTATGGTCATTATCTCTCACCTGTGTCATTACACCAGCCTTCTCATTGTCTTACTGCATCCTTTTGTGTAATGTCATTGTTGACTTTTTAAAAATGCAAATTCAGTCATATTGAATCCCTCAAAATTACGGCTTTCTTGCCCTGTGCAAGATGAAGACTCACTCACCAGAGTTTATAAGTGTTGTTAAGATCTCACCCCTGCCTACTTCTTCAATTCCACCACTTCCCAGTCTACACCATGTGCTCCAGTTGTTCTGTGTTTTTTTAACTTCCTAGAATGTGTCCATAAGCCAGACCAGACTAAAGAGGTTACTTTGCACTCAAAGATTGATTGGAACTCAGACCTTTTTGAAAATCACTTTCCCTTAGGCTTTCTACTAAACTGGCAAAGCAGTACCAAGGACATATACAGTGAAAACATCTAAGAAAGTGAATTCAGCACTCTTATATCTCCCTAGTTCCTCATGGAGATATGGCCAAAATTCCATTGTCAGTGTGGTATATGCCTGGTCATACACAAGCTCAGTAGCGTTGTTCAAGTAGGCAGGGTGAGAACCCAGTTAATGCTCTGAGGTCTGTCTCTGTCATATAAGGAACATTTTGCTATATCTAAAGGAACAAACATTTTTTTTCTGTGTCATTGGGTGTATAACAGTTGTCACTATCACCTTCCATAGCTATGTTTTTTTCTTCTTTGTACCTATTACTGGCTTTGTTGGCATAAGAATTTTTAACCTCATTTCTGTTTAAGACTCAGACTAAAGGTCCCCTCTTCCAGAACATTTTCTTTGGCTTCAGCCTCTTTCTAAGCATCATTTTTTATAGTCCTTGTGAACTGATTTTTATATGTTAGGTTCTTTACTAGTCTACTACTAAATAAATGCTCTTTCAGAGTAAGGGCCATGTTTTACTCATCTTCGTATTTTTAGTTTCTAGCAAAAATATCATATTGCAATGATCTCGAGAAAAGAACAAGGAAGGGAAAAATCATTACTGATCTAATAAAAGGTCTGGCAACAAAGATAATCACTCTGGAGTATGGTGTGTCAATTTTCAGGTATTTTTAAATCTTCAGTGGTTGAATTTACTTAATAGTGACATACAACACTCAGAAGAAAGAATGCTTATAATAAAGACCTGTTTTAAGGCATTCAGCTGTGTTTCTTTAACCTTCCTATTTCCAACTTGTATGCCAATATATACTT